TTTTCTTGAGACAGAGTCTCACTCTCACCCTTGGTAGAGTGCTGTGGTGTCACAGCTCACAGCAACCTCCAACTCTTGGGCTTAAGCAATTCTCTTGTCTCAGCCTCCCAAGTAGCTGGGACTACAGGGGCCCACCACAACACCTGGCTATTTTTTGTTGCAGTTGCCACTGCTGTTTTAGCTGGCCGGGGCCGGGTTCAAACCTGCCACCCTTGGTATATGGGGACAGCGCCCTACCCATTGAGCCACAGGTGCCGCCCCCTTTTCTCTCTTCTGTAAGATGTTTTTTTCTTTCTCTTCCCAACTAACTCCATCTCATTGGTTTGAAGGGTTCAGGCTTCTTTCTTCCTCCCATCCCACATCTCCTTGGCACAGCACACCCAGTCCTGTTTGTCATCCTGCCCCACTCCAGGCACAGCTTAGAAAGAGAAGAGAGAATCTCAAGTATGAGCTCCAGAGACTGGCATGAGATGAGGACCTTCCCTAATTTTTCCCCAACCTATATCCTAATGTCTCTCCCTTCTCTAGGTATAAACTTTTTATTTTTATTTTTTGAGACAGAGTCTCAGTATGTCGTCCTCAGTAGAGTACCATGGCATCACTGCTCACAGCGACCTCCAATTGTTGGGTTTAAGCGATTCTGTTGCCTCAGCCACCCAGGTAGCTGGGACTACATGCACCTGCTACAATGCCCAGCTATTTTTTTGTTGCAGTTGTCACTGTTATTTAGCTGGCCCGGGCTGGGTTCGAACTCGCCAGCGTTGGTGCATGTGGCCAGCACTGTAACCACTGTGCTTTTGGCGCTGAGGCAACTTTTTTTTTTTTTTAACTGAGTGTTACTCTGTTGCCTAGGCTAGAGTTTCATGGCCATGACATCAACCTAGCTCATAACAACCTCAAACTCCTGGATTCACCTGATCCTCTGGCCTCAGCCTCCTGAAAAGCAAGTATCCAATGTACTTATACTAATATGAAGCCAGTACGTGACCTAATGAGACCAAGAGAAAAACTTAATTCAATTCAAGATGGGGAGAGGGGGATTGATGTGCCCCCTCTTAAGGGGCACAATGTGGGAGCATATGGCACATGTCCTAGGGGCAGAACACAGCTATATCAGGGCCTATACTTAACAAATGCAAACATTATAACCTAATTCTTTATACCCTTAAACTAACCTGAAATAAATAATAAATTTTTTAAAATGAGCCAGGTGATGACTGGGCACCTGTTGCTTAGTGGTTAGGGTGCCAGCCACGTGCTCTAGGACTGTTGAGTTTGAACCCGGCCCGGACCTGTTTAAAAAAAAAAAATAAAAGGGGGCCAGGTGAGGTGGCTCATGCCTGTAATCCTAGCATTCTGGGAGGCTGAGATAGGTGAGTGGATTGCTTAAGCTCAGGAGTTGGAGACCAGGCTGAACAAGAGCGAAATCCCATCTCTATTAAACATAGAAAAAGTAGCTGGGCGTAGTGGCACACACATGTAGTCCCAGCTACTTAGGAGGCTGAGGGAAAATAACTGCTCAAGCCCAAGAGTTTGAGGTTGCTGTGAGCTATGCCTCCACAGCACTCTACCCAGGGCAAGTGAGTGAATCTCAAAAAAAAGCAAGCAATCCTCCTGCTTCAGCCTCACAGAGTGCTGGGGTGAGCGACCATGCTGGGCTGAGGGATAAACTGTTTATTCCAACCATTTCAAACTACTTTCTGTTGCCCAAAATTGCAATTCATTAAAGAGTCCAGCCACTTATAAAACACACATTAAGTGTTCATGAAGGCCCAGGCGCTGCATTCCACATCAGGGTTATGCAGAAGAATAGAGCTGGAATAATGCAGTGGTTTAAATCAGAGTTGTTGGCATAGCACAGGCCTGAGTTTAAATTCCATTTCTGCCATGTGTCCCCCGTATGGTCTTGCATGGGTCATTGGACCTCTTCAGGCCTTCTTTGTTTCTCTCTTGGGCTGAAAAGAGGTTTATCTGCAACTTAATTCTTAGCGTTTGGCAACAGTGTCCTCTGCGCTGTGGAAAGTAGTTGCAGTGGTATGTGGCGTACTTCGCCTCTCAGGCTGAATTCCCCAGAAGCAGGCACTGAGACAAAGATTGAAGTAAAAGAGATGTATTTAAAAGAGATGAGGGTGGAGAGGAGTAGAAGGGACCTGGGAAGAAGGGAAGAAGAAAAAGAAGCCAAACAAATGAGTGGACGTAAGCAAGGTGTCAGGGAGTACAACTCTGACTCACAGGACTGGAGTAGTGATACGTTCATATTTGTCATCATCAGTTAAAGGCTGGGATCAGGATGGGGGAAGAGAAGAAGACAGGGAGGGGAAGAGAAAAATTTCCAGGTGCTTCTAGCACTCTGCACCAGGAAAAGGTCCCAGCTGTCCAAGGCAATAAGGGGCTACTGTGGGTGACGTAGCACAGTGGAGTCAGTAGACACAAACGTGGTACAGGGCCTGAGAAGAAATGTGCAGACACAGGCTCTGCCCACAGAGGCTCATGGCCCAGAAGGAGAAAAGACATGAAGAAATAAATTATCACTTGCGGAGTGACCAGGGGCAGGGGAGAGGGGTGGGCAGTGGTACGCAGAGAAGTGTCCCTGAGGAGAGACAAACAACTAGTTAGGAAGAGGAAGGCTATTTGACATAGAGAACAGCTCACACAAAGGTAGAGGCCTGAGACAGCCTAGCACACACAGGGCAGATCTGGGAGGTAGTGGTCTGCTGCCAATGCCCCATCCCCACCCCATAGTGGGCGGCTTCCGGGCCTGCACCTTGTGTGAGTCTCAGTCTGCGCTTCCCTGACTGTCCTCTGCCCTCCAGCCACACAGTCTCTAGGTCTGGCTCCCAATCCTCCTCCTGGAAGCCTCCCCTGACCATTGCAACTCATCGTGACTCTTCTAAAGTCATGGCATTTACTGCTAAGGTGCTCACTCATGTTTTAAGTAATTATGTGGTTACATGCATTCTTACTGTCTGTGATGTTATTTAACCTTGCTTATAAATCCTGGCTTTCCTAGCTGAATTTTAAGCTTCCTGCAAGTGGAAACAGCATATTTTTATTCTTTATATTCTTACATTCTCCCATGGCACCTGGCATTGGTGAACATATTAAATATGTAAGATAATGAATGAATGAACAAATGGGTGAATCCAGTCTACTTTGAGTAGATACTAGGCTCACCCCTACAATTCTTATGTGTTGTAAGATTATTCCTAAACCCTAAACTTAGTTTTGTTTCATTCGCTCTATGTGTAGGGTTTTTTATTTTGTTTGTTTCTTTTTTTATGGGACAGGATCTTGCTTTATTGCCCAGGCTGGAGCAGAGTGGCTATGTCACTTCAGACTGCAGTGTTGAATTCCTGGGCTCAGGGATCCTCCCACCTTCAAAGTGTTACCTCCTCTTGCCACAGGTAGGTTTTTGTTGTTGTTGTTGTTTGTTTGTTTGTTTTGGAGATGAGTCTCACTTTGTTGTGGCCTCACCAGTTCACAGCAACCTCAAACTCCAGGGTTCAAGGGATCCTCCTGCCTTAGCCTGCCGAGTAGCTGGGACTACGGGCACCTACCACAACACCTGGCTAATTTTTTTCCTACTTTTTTATTTTTTTTTTT